GTTACCCATTCACTAACCTTTCGAAGCCATTGTATCAGATATATGGAGATGTATTTCGGAGTGTGACCATATTTTACTCTTTGTTTGTCCATACACGCCACCCGCCGACTGCAATCCTAGCATAGTTCAAATACCTGATATTTAGGATTTTGTTTGTGGGAGCTTTTACAGCTATTTCCTCGCATAGCCTTTCATCACGTGAAACGGTGCACAACAGGGTGACAGTCAAATAAAGCAGACTAAACAACCGAAAAACAACCAGCGAACGGAAGTTTCGCAAGCCCGGTTGTATCCAAAATGAACAAATTCAAGGTTGTTTATGGGGGGTTATCCAGAGGTGGACGGTGGTTCTATGCTTGCACCGGCCCTAACATGAAGTTCTCACCAGCTGAAGTTCATGACGAGACTTATCGCCTGTTTTGCATCAGGGTAGGCGATGATGAACTGGGTGTATTTTTTTATTGGCGGTTGCACGTATGTCACCGCGTAGTCACTTAAAGTTTTACGGAGCTTTGCGTTACGCAGTGCACAATTTGCTCAACCAAGCAAATGCTATGGTGCACACAAAAACACCTACGGCTATAAAGAAGCCCAAAACGACAACGATAAAACAGATATATTTTACTCCTCCATGTAGAGTAGGATGACGGACAATTCTTCATATAAACTGCCTGATACAAACAGCTGTTGATGCAATCAGGTGACTTTACGTAGAACGCTTCACTTCTGCAAAACCATGCACTGGCAATGACACTGCAATTCCCAAGCAACCACACGAACTAACCTTTTGGTTCGAGGTGGTTTGGACGAACTCATACATACACAACAATAAGAAAGATACCATGAAGTACTCAGGAAACCTACTCATTCACTTGCAATGAGGACTGATATGAGGATTGATACCCTTAGGGCTCGGAAACATGAGGATTGATACCCTTAGGAGCTCGGAAAACGTGCCCATTCAATTTTCAATAATTCTATGAGGACTGACATTCGTGTATTTCGCATATCACAGTAACCGAGCGTTATTGCACATTTTCAGGTATGAGAAATATATTTGACTCAATTGGGTGATAGCCTGGGGAGTGCCAAACGTTCGTTGGCATAAACTACTGCGCAGTCTCTTGGGTATAACAAGGTAGCATATTTGTTCCAACTTCAAGATTTCATAGAAACTCGAGCTGATCGTAGAATTCAAAACCAACTTTCTCAGGCTAGTTACGATTTTCATCTTATTCATGGAAGTCTGTATGTCACAGAGCAGTGCATGTGAAACTTCTAGAAAAAAAGACAGGTAAATTGTTCAAGCCAAGTCCTAGCTTCAGCGGATATAGACATTAGGTCATAAATATACCTTGTCTTGTTCAACAGATTCCTGAATACTGCTTTCAGTGAGCTGTCACCAAGCTCTTGCATAAACACAAGTTTAGGATCCGGGTTTGAGAATGCGTATGCCAAGACGTTTGACGCGTTGTAAGTGGACAGTAAAGAAGTACGCAACTGTGCACTTTGTCAATTTCTTTCAAATCACCTTTCCAAGCAAAGGTTTGCAGACGACGATGGAGAGCTTCGTTAAGGATGCCCGAAAATTCGGTTTCATGTNCAAGCCCGGTTGTATCCAAAATGAACAAATTCAAGGTTGTTTATGGGGGGTTATCCAGAGGTGGACGCTGGTTCTATGCTTGCACCGGCCCTAACATGAAGTTCTCACCAGCTGAAGTTCATGACGAGACTTATCGCCTGTTTTGCATCAACGTAGGCGATGATGAACTGGGTGTATTTTTTTATTGGCGGTTGCACGTATGTCACCGCGTAGTCACTTAAAGTTTTACGGAGCTTTGCGTTACGCAGTGCACAATTTGCTCAACCAAGCAAATGCTATGGTGCACACAAAAACACTTACGGCTATAAAGAAGCCCAAAACGACAACGATAAAACAGATATTTTTACTCCTCCATGTAGAGTAGGATGACGGACAATTCTTCATATAAACTGCCTGATACAAACAGCTGTTGATGCAATCAGGTGAATTTACGTAGAACTGCCAATGACACTGCAAACCCTAAGCAACTGCACGAATTAACCTTTTGGTTGGAAGTGGTTTGTACGAACTTATACACACACAAAAATAAGAAAGATACCATGAAGAATCATTCACTTGCAATGATGTTATGAGGACTGATATGAGGACTGATACCCTTGGGAGCTCGGAAAACGTGCCATCCAGTTTTCAATAATTCTATGAGGACTGATATTAGTGTATTTCGCATAACACAGTAACCAAGGGTTATTGCACATTTTCAGGTATGAGAAATATATTTGACTCAATTGCGTGAGAGCCTGGGGAGCTTCGATAAGGATGCCCGAAAATTCGGTTTCATGTTAACTGGGTCTAAACCAAAATATCGTAAACAAGCAACGGAGAAGGACGCCACTTACACCGGCACTCGTCGGAAAGGATACCTGACCTTCCTTGAGTGGCTGATGGAAATTATCCCTTCATCGCACAGCCATCTTGCGTTTCGCCGAAATTTCCCTTTCCGACGGAAGACCTAGCCAACAATCCTAAGCTCGCATATGTCACCCGAATGGACTGGCAAAAATTATCTGCCGTGTAGCCGGGACTGATCGGTGGAACATGTACATGAGAATTCCTGTAACAATACAGCACACATATCCAAAAGTGGAACTGACTATCCGGAAAGTTTGCACAAAGTGTCGAGCATTCTTTCACATATTTGGTTTCATTATTTCGCCTCGGATGATGCTTGATGGGTGTGAACAAATATTTGGACAAGGAAGCTCATTCTTTATGCATGTCTTTCAGAGACACCCTCTACTTGTGCTTCTCAGCTACATTTTTTATACCCAAGCTTGGTTGTAATCTGAGATAATCCACAGGACTGCATGAAACAACTACCTTTGTGTCATTTGTGTAGGTGAATACAATAGACCCTGTTCATGATGTGATCCCAGGTTCACATAAACATTCGGTGGGAAAGAAAAGAACCGTTGTTGAAAAAACCTCCATTCGTCCTACGGCACTCAAGGGGCTTGCATATTCTACTAGAACTTTGAATATCGGGGACATCAAACCACACCACAGTTCCCTCAAAGGAACTTGATCCAGCGAAAAGAAATAAAGTGTAAGTGACTTAATCATTATAAGTCGTTCCCCTGTCTCATTATTATCTCGGGTAACTTTGTATAACTATGATCTTGATCGACTCGCAAACTGTCAAATAAGCCTAACATTGATGTGATGCGCACATTTTTGTTGCATAATACAGAATTAGTTATTTGTCCTAAAGAAATTCCTATAAAACCGTGAAGGTAAAATAATGAAAGTGGGGTCTTATCTGTCAGTATCCCCAAATTTCATAGAACCCAGGTTGATTCAGTCCCGTGTGATGTAAAGGAATTCATAAGCATGATCAAACCTGATGACCCCCTAAGATACATCATTATGAGCAGAAAAAGTGCCCTAAATCTCCCGTCCTCATAAATGCTACTCAAAAAGATCTATTCAGTGGACCACCCCTTTAAATCCACACAAACATGCAGTCGCCATTCGGAGTTGGACGAATTCAACTGACCTCCAAGAACTGATGTTTTCCGTTAGCTGGTCAAGGGAGTTGAGTTTAGCTCTCTCTATGCCAAAGTACGGGTGTTCTGCTGACTGAGTTCTCCTGTGTGTGATCGCTTCAGAAATAGGCATGGAATAATTTAACGTGTAAATATTGCAATAATGCGGAAACGCAAGCCTGACTATGGTTCATGCATATTAATACAGTCTCTTGTGAAGAGTTTAACAAGCTTTATTTTCATACGAAGCACGTTTGGATATACCACACATGTGGACAGAACTCAGATAGGAAAAAATACTCTCAACAGTAGCATCCAAACATTTCTTCCGAAATGTAAGTTGTGCTTGCATTTCAAAATTTCTCTTCTGAAATCTTTTACTAAGCGTTCTGTTCCTCATAACGGAGTGTTCGTTATGATGAAGACTTGAGAAAAGGAAGGTAATTTGATCATTCACTTGTTGAAGCTTGGGTTGAAGCTTGGATTTGCGTTCACCGGTCGGTCTTATGTCCTCTCTCCAAAGGGAGCGGCCATCCACTAAGAATATTTGGCAGTTACTGGTTCGGGTACCCGGATACTGTAGAGATGCAAAATCATTCAGTTTACGCAACAATAGTTTTGAGGGCTGAGCTGTCTGGATGGCAAATTATAGTCCATCTGCAAGTATAATTGTAACTCACGGGCACTGAACGGCTGACGGTACTGGGGGCCGGAACAACAGTTTTCACAATGGGTAGAGTGCCTTGTGACTGCGTCGCAATAATATGAACTCACGCTATTCGCATCAGCTCTAGTTGTATAGTCCATCTGCAAGTATAATTGTAACTCACGGGCACTGAACGGCTGACGGTACTGGGGGCCGGAACAACAGTTTTCACAATGGGTAGAGTGCCTTGTGACTGCGTCGCAATAATATGAACTCACGCTATTCGCATCAAGCTCTAGTTGACCTGCGAAGAATAGCAATCAACAGAATACTAAGTGGTTGATGCAAACTCCTGTTGATGCGCACGTTTAAACAACAGCCCACTTGAACAAAACATGATTACCTACTGAGTTCCTTCTCCTCCGTGCACTCAGGTCAAAATCATTCATTAGACTGGCAGTTGAGACGATCGAAAACGTACATGTTCAATGGAGCAGTTGTAGTACCAACAGATACCTACTGTTTGAATTGAAGTTTTGCAATGTTGTGTTGTTGTTGTGTTGTTGTGTTTTGCCCCCACAGGTCCAGAGGTCATCCGCTCAGGTTAAATAACTTCAAGAGCATATTCTCATGTTTCCATGGTGCAGCTGGAAGGACTCAACTGTAGCAGAACATTAGGTTATATGAGATGGTCTATTCCACGATGTACATGTATATAAATACTACAATTTGTTGTGTACAGTCTGGTATAGCTTACACTGTCGAAGATATGCTTATTGTTTTGTTTGCAGCACTTGTTCTGAAAGCCTCAAAAGCTCAGGGTACGACCAAACACAGTGCAATCTATTTTCACGCTGACCGTTTCTTTTGCCTGCAGACGATGTATCACGATTCAGTTGCTATCATACACGTGATTTGAACTTCAACCCGGACACCGCAACGGTTCACCCGAACTGCCAAAACTGTGTGGTAAGTGTTTGGAATTTGCACTTATATTCTGTTGGATATTCCGACCATGTGTACCCATAAACCTACCTCAATTTCTGTTACTTTTCAGCTTGAAGAAACGTTTAGTGACGGCAGGCTGATTGCAGTGAACCGCTTGTGTGTGGGTAAAACCTGTCACTCATTTCAACATGTTTACAATGGTAATGGACAAAATCGGTATTGCTGTACTAGTCAACTGTGCAATGTGGACAAAGAAACGGGTGCGTTTTCGTGAAATTTGCGACCTCATAGTCTCACAGCGTTAATAAATATGATAATCTAATCTAGAAATCTATTAAATAGCCAAGTAAATTCCTGCGCATCATGAATGTCATATTTCACTTGAATCTGAACAAGACATTTTCCTGCATTGCAGCGGAAAAATGCCGTCCATAGAGGTGAGTGCAGATAAGGTAATTTATATCCTGTACAGGTTTGTACTATTAGAAGGTTCCAAAAATATTTGGGGGGCGGTCATGCCAGTCATTTTGTGGTCTTCATTGCTTCGTCCCATATAAGCATGAAGTTGCGGATTAGAAACAAACACCGTAATCCATGCAAGGATGCAGAAAGCCTAACCTGAGTGACGGTCTATTCAGTAGAAAAAGGGATTTCCTGCAAATAATCTTTACAATCAAACGGGAAAAGGTAAAATAATCTCCTCAGCTGAAACCAAATATTATCAAAACATATCAACTCGGGTTATTACCACCAGCACCACACTACTTGATCACACGAACACCAACTTTCCGTTCAGCAAAACTATATGCGGATTTTTGAGATTATAATAATATTTTAACTTTAAAAAACGCAACTGCTTCATCTAATGCGGAACGTTCGATAAAAATGATCTTCCTTAATGAGGTAAATAATCCTGCTACATTTTGTTTTTCACCTACAGTACTATCTGGGAACATGTGATTATCAGTGGGAAAGGATTGAGATTGATCACGCTGGGCTTAAGCGTTCTCGAAACAAATATGGCATATCCATCTGGTGGCACAATAAACTCGTTCCATGCTCTATCCCTGTACCTGTATCAAAATTACTTTTAGTATCTAAACATCCGACCTACAGGAGGAGAAACGTTCCAAACACGGCGATGTGAAGAAGATTTCAGAGAATCAGGTGATGATTGGTTTATGATGCAAGATCACTTCATTCTCGTTTGAACACTCCTCCGCCTTTCCTGACGTGATCATTCTAGCGATTTCCTCTAAAACAAGGGAAGCGCTGAACCCGAGTTTCGCTTTGCCGCGCCGGGCTTTAAAGTCCGCACATCTGGCATGCGAGGAAAGCGTGTAAGCACTACTCCACCAGCTCACACAGACGCAACTTCATTTACGCCCGAACAGGTGAATATGTTTCAGAACCCCCACATCAACATCACTGTATACTTACTTACACTTTACATAACTGTTTGGATTTGTTAACTGAAGAAGAATGTTAAATGAATGCCGGAACACGTCCAAGGTAATTTAACAATTTTGCAATGCGGAGGGACACCGACACCATCGACAGCGTACATAGAAATCGTACACTGGAAAAGGCTCATGTTCATTTGCTTGTCAGCCAGTAGGTTGTCCTTGAGCGATAATAAGTATAGGGAATGCCTGATTCCTCTCATTTGCAAGAAATAGTTTTTCGTTTTCTCAGCACCATAGCAATCCAACCGTTTTGTGCATCTTCGTTTCAGCATACCACTTTTCGACGTTGTGCGACACACTTCATTTCATCTCATCCAATTTCTAAATAAAGTTTATGCGGCAACACATTTTTATTTCACTGAAGTTAATTTCCACGCACAAAGTCCTGAGTGACTATGTGAGACAATATAACAACCATCGCATTAAGCGAAACTTGTCACATTGTTGGTAATATATATAACTGGCCATTTTAACGGGGATTTAATCCTGTAAATGAAGGCAGTGTGAATCGGAAAGTCGAGAAGCGCCGAACTGCTATTCAGCCCTCTAATTATAGACGGATAAATAGATCCCTTGACTTTGGTACACCCATCACCTTGAAGTATCATTCAGTGATATAGCAAATGTCCCTGAAGTACCCTGAGTGTTGACAGATTTCATCACGTATTTGCCATACAAATCTTTGTATGGCTTATTCGTCGTTTTTAAACACGTTTCGAAAAGTCACTAGTGCAAACGTTGGTGACCGGGTGAATTATGCTGGCTCATAGCAGGCATGAAGAGCACGAGCTGACCTCCATAAATAGTGACATCCACTGCTTCAGGATAACTTATTATTAGGGGGCAGGTATGCAATCATCCTAACACTAAAACCTGCCAATTCTTTGCGTCCAGCGTAAAGTGTCTGTGATGGCGTGGATATCTTGCTGTCCGCCGACGCGTGATATCATTCAGTACTGCCACCTATGTGAGTAGTAAAGCCAGAACTCGCACTGAAGTACAAAATCCGGCATTCGTTATCTTGTGCAGCAATATATGTGCTAGACTGACTATGCAATGTAGCCCCCAACTGTCTAAAGTTAGTATTACATTGCGAAATAGGAACTCGTTTGTTCGCCAGTCGGTTTTAACAGAATTTTTCCGGAGAATCCGATGAAATTTCTCCACCACTAGGCTTTTGAATAGCTTCAAGAAAATTTGTCATAATCTGTTGGGGCAGCTGAATTAAGTGTTGTCCAATGTTTCCGTATTCGCGCTTCAGTTTAGCTGAGACCACAGATTTTATCCGTTTCTACGTTAGCCGTTTCCGCGAACTCTTGTGGTCTTGACCGAGGGAAGATAATGTTGAATACCGAACGGTCTGATTGAGCTTTGCCCCAAAGTAGAATTAAGCCTGTTAGGCGATCAGCTTACGAAGGCCACGACATCATTAACACAAGGGTCTATATGCGACTGAAATTCTGCCCGCTTTTGGGGTAGTTTGCAGTGGAAGAGCTACCCTGGTAGTTTTGTCTGCCCAACGATATTTGGGGCCTGTGAAGCCCCAGCCACAGTCGCTTAATGAATACGCACGGCTACACCCTGTGATATTAATTCATCCCACCCACCAATAAATTATTGGTCAGGATTTTAGATGCGTTTTCACGAAACGAAGATTTTACTACTAGCTAATTATGAGTAGCTCGATCAAAACCTACCGTACTCCCAAAAAGGATACGACGTGTCGAAAAAAACTTTTCGAAAACAGAAAGTAGTAGAATCACCCCATATGTAGAGTGAGATCACATGAAACCTACCGAGGTGATTTAATTCACAGCACATCCAATCTGCTTTCTTAACGATACTTCATGAGGTAAGAATGCGTGAAACTGGATTTAGCGCCAGATTAGGAGAAGCTTTCAGTGTTTATTAAAGGCACGTAAGCGATTCTTTGATTGATAACCCGGAGGAAATTCAAGACACTGGAGCAATGTACACAACAGAAATCTTACTGATGATCATCCGATCAAATGTGTTCCGAGCATGTGACTAAAGCAGAATCAGCCACGATCTGCAACGAGCTTTCTATCTGCTTCTTTGAATGCCGATGCAGTGTACCACGCAGTGGCCATAAAATGAGCTTTAAAATCTAATGGTTGTAAAACGTTCCATGACATTTACACCATCGTGCATTTGGCTTATTCAACTGGGACTTTCCAGATGGTATACGAGGTTCTGGCAATTCGTTTAAAATATGGGTGCTCGAGTGCCTGTTAATTTCGAGATTACGATAACACGCTATGCAAACACGAAGATCTTAGTAATGGGTTTTTCTAACACTAGCCTACTGCAGTAGTTTGCATGTGGCTGCTTCTAACAGCCTCCTTGCCAACGGTACCTAGAAACAACTTGAGCATTTGACCATGGTTTGAATCTGCAGATTTTTTCTCATTGAACAGGACTTTCTTCTATGGATTTTGGAGAATACAGCGAAATGGCTGTACAACTGTCAGAAGAGTGTGATTCCACTGTGACGAGTCATTCTTCCGAGGCAATTCATCCGAATAAAAGCTCAGGTGCCCAGAACTAGCCAAATCCAAACTGCTAGTGATGAGTGGATCGTGCAGGACGGCGAACCCGTGAAAACGGCAAAGCGCTCTCATATAATGTAAACCGCGAGAGACTCATTTCTGGTGTGCAAATACACTTGCTTATGTATTTTGAGCCAGACGACTTCAAAAACTATCAAACTGATTAGAATTTGAAAAGTTGATATTTGCTTTCTAAAGTAAGGTGGATTTAAGTTGTTCATACCTAATCCTTTTGCCACGTCTCGTTTTGGATCCAAGTAAGGCATGGTACACATTGGGTGCAACACAAAACGCTACCAAATTCAAATTATTATTCTCAGATATTATAACCGGGACTTTCGTGAGGATACATCGATAGTTTTGCATCAAAAACCGGTCGTAGACAATTTCTGGGCGCTAGGCCCGTGAAAGGTGGGTCCATTGGAGTCTGTTGCACTATTGAATGCTTAAGTACACAAAGCTTCCTCTATTCAACATCAAAGTTGGATTCATTGAATTCTCTGGGCAAGCATACAGCTCATCTGCTACTACTAATTACTGGATAAGTACAAATACATACTGACTGCTTCCGAAATATTTCCAATGGCCACCACATTCATTGGTCGAATGAACGGTTAAAGCAAAAATGTGACAGATCTTGAGAAACACCATAGGTTTAAAGTTTGCATTGTGTAGATGAATGGCCACTGAGTGGCCGCTGTCAAGGGGTTTATAAGTTAGACCAGTGGCTGTAAGAGCTCATTTTCCGCTTTGGAATCTCGGTGTAACATTAAATCATCTCATTATTTTGGCTGCAATTCGGATTAATAACCACGTGTGTCATAAACCATATCCTAGTTATTGGTTATGTAGTGGGTGATCTGCCCACCAGGATTGACAGTTAGAATAAAAGGGTTTCCTACCGAACCGAGAGGACCACTGAAGATTTTCGGATCAGCAAACGATAGACCTATCACAGCGACGGAAATTCCTAACTATCTCCAAGAAACTCAGGTGTTGAAAATAACACATTGTCCCCCTACGCAGAATGTGAGCCTCCCGATCGATTAACGCGACAACCACTGAGCGCGCTACATTGATATTCACGTACACGACTCATTCAGATGCACACTGAGGGGTGGAAAACTCCGTTCCTAACCTTCACGTTGGGAGGTGTGCGTGTCTGCGTGTCACCTTGGTCGAAATCAAGGGTGGTCTCTCATTCTCACTAGGCTATAATTAGCACCCTAACGCGAAACGGTGGGCGACGGTGAAACAGATTTAAACCTGTGCAATGAACAAGCACAACAAAACCGTTTGGCTCAAGTAGACGGATCAACCGGCCCCGCTTACAGCAGCCTAATTGTAACGAGCATCCTTTCCGGCCAATAATGAAAACGCCAGAACTAAGGAGCCGTCCGACTTGGAGGTCATAAGCGACAGTAATCGCCTCCACCTGAGTACACAGGATGGTTCCATGCCAAAAAATACAATTTTACCGCCTGTTATTATTCTGTTGTGATTCCCCGAGGCACTAGCATGCTTCTTGCATTCAGTTCTATTAGATCGTTGGCTTCGCTTAACCTCATTCGTGTGACGACAAACGCACTTTCATGTACTACAACATGTTGCACATCAACAGGAGTCAAACGACTGGCAACTTCCCTATGTAATTTCACTCAAGTGACTTCCGGTGGAAGTGAAAGTGTTGCCCAGTGAAGCAAAGTATGCACTCCATTCTGGACATCGCTTAGCGCATGCCGACAAATTTCAATGAAATGGGACCCCCGATTTACACCTACCGAGATGCCAGTTCGGAACTGCCAATTGCACTTTCTCCACAAGTGAATTTCCCTCTCAGCATGGCGCACAATACAACACATTGTCCCCCTACGCAGAATGTGAGCCTCCCGATCGATTAACGCGACAACCACTGAGCGCGCTACATTGATATTCACGTATACGACTCATTCAAATGCACACTGAGGGGTGGAAAACTCCGTTCCTAACCTTCACGTTGGGAGGTGTGCGTGTCTGCGTGTCACCTTGGTCGAAATCAAGGGTGGTCTCTCATTCTCACTAGGCTATAATTAGCACCCTAACGCGAAACGGTGGGCGACGGTGAAACAGATTTAAACCTGTGCAATGAACAAGCACAACAAAACCGTTTGGCTCAAGTAGACGGATCAACCGGCCCCGCTTACAGCAGCCTAATTGTAACGAGCATCCTTTCCGGCCAATAATGAAAACGCCAGAACTAAGGAGCCGTCCGACTTGGAGGTCATAAGCGACAGTAATCGCCTCCACCTGAGTACACAGGATGGTTCCATGCCAAAAAATACAATTTTACCGCCTGTTATTATTCTGTTGTGATTCCCCGAGGCACTAGCATGCTTCTTGCATTCAGTTCTATTAGATCGTTGGTTTCGCTTAACCTCATTCGTGTGACGACAAACGCACTTTCATGTACTACAACATGTTGCACATCAACAGGAGTCAAACGACTGGCAAATTCCCTATGTAATTTCACTCAAGTGACTTCCGGAGGAGGTCAAAGAGTTACCCAGCAAAGTAAGCATTCCATTCTGGACATCGCTTAGCGCATTCCAACAAATTTCAATGGAATGTGACTCCTGATTTACACCTACCGAGATGCCAGTTCGGAACTGCCAATTGTACTTTCTCCACAAGTGAATTTCCCTCTCAGCATGGCGCACAATACAAGACGTGTGCGCCGGATTTTCCAATTGTTCACATACTATGTTAGCAAGCAACCAGTTTATTTCAAAGCATCCAAGCTTATTTTCGATGTACATGGACACCCGAGGACTTTTGTTTCATCAGCATTTCACTGATAGGTTGCAAAAGCTGTCGACGCCATTTGTGGAACATGATTGAGCGTACCGAAGACCAATATTGTAGCTTAAAAGGATCGAAACGCCAGTCATTTTTGAGACCGTTTTGGGTTACTTTCGAGAGTACTAAACTTGATGCCACCCATACGGTAATTTACTCATTGGTAGACTACAAACACAGAACAAATCAGTTCAATGTTCTGTGCGTGACAGCCTTCCGCCAAATCCTAGGAATTTGGAATGCCCTAATTGTAAGATTCAATGTTGAATCAGTGCATCCGATATACTTCGTTTAGGTTTCCAAAAAGATGTTCTTTGTTCGTCCCCTTCTAGTGTCGTTCATCACCTGAAGAAGGGGATATGGTTATTGGCTTGCAACATTTGTCCTATATATATATATATATATATATGTGCCACAGGGGAGATTTCGCTTCTTTGCTCACTCACAATTTACGTTGTGAATTTACTCCCCAGGAAGACTACTTTGTTCGCTCTCCAGATAATCAACTTGAAGCGCGTTCTAATGATTCAGTAGAAACCAGTCAACCTCCTAGGGAGAATTATGTACAGGAGGGATCATTGTGGTTCCTTAAGAAGAGGGCATCTCATTCGCTGAATGGTCGTTCAGATAAATATAGCAAGATGATTTTGCTTCTAATCGGGAGTACTGATTATTTGAGCCGCCTTTTGTTAGTGATCAATTATTTTGCACACCTAATGTCAAGCTTGCTAATGTAGTGTGGATAAGCCAGGTTAATCCAACTTACTTCACTGAATCTGCTGCATTACCGAACGAGTCTAATAGTGGGTTGAGTAGCTCATAAACGGAAACGATAGGCATGGAGCATGGCGACACAGTGGGAATAGCGGTAGTTGCAGTCTGCAGAAAGAGATTTGCACTTTGAAGAAATGCGCCTCATAGTCATTTTCTTCAGAATTCGGTATACAGCACAATCAGGAAAATCAACCTATGTCTTGTCCATTCTGATGGAGTTTTGAGATATCTGATGGAAACGGCAAAAGTTTTGATGCTTCTGACCCCAGTGTGATGAGCACCGACCATTATGTGTTATTACGAAAAGTGAATAACGTGCGTTGCACAGTACGACTTGATAATGCCTAAATGCGGTTTACTCAAATCGTTTTGTAAGACGATAATCTTTCCGGAGGCGAGGACTTGAAATAGACTGCCACCGGGCTAATTCACTGGGCCAAATCTCGGCCGTTAACCCGTAGGAGAAAACTGTGAATTTGCACACGCTCGAGTTGACAGCATTTTGGGAATATAGTGTTCTAGACCATAATTCTATATTTGTGCGTCAACCCCCAGAATCTATACTAGTTCTTATCACAACAACCTGTACGTCTTAAAGAGCATGAATTTTTCACAAATGCATTAAAACTGAACAAACGGACAAACAGATGCAGCGAATTCTACGGGTATTTAGCATTAAATTAGAAGTCTTGAGCTAAATTCCGCTCGCATAGTGTTAGAAAATTGAGCGCGATTCTCGTATGATACGATATTTTTAAAGTCAAAGCACAACGTAGTGGAATGAGACGTTGTAATCCAACACAGTCGGCAAACCTTTTCAACGATTTCCACAATATGAGGGATCTGAACAATGAGGCATCACAGCTGGCACAAGATCAGATGGGAACACATCCTGATCAAAGTACACAGCCCTGCACGCATGCACACAGATATAAAGCACCCACACACTCGGTCGCACTCACATGCTAAATGATCACAGAAACACCACTTAATGTCTGTTATTCAAATTTGTTCATCAGCACCTTTAGATTTCACTTGCGGAAATCTCGGATGAGCAACATTTCCATACTATGACCGAATAGTTTATTTGAGAAGTCATTAAATGACTAATCACTCGGAATTTGACCATGGGATGCGGACATCGTGACTCAAGACAGACTGGCGCTATACCTCGTTCAAGTAAGGAATATCTGCACAACTGACCAGCCACTTTTTGGCGGACTGCTGTTTTTAAGCTACCAATCGTTAGTCTGGAAACTACCTGGAGTGCTATGAGATGCGCAGTGCTGATGATTTCCTGTGAGGAGTTAACGGCTGTTCAGTGTTTGTGGCTTTTGAGCAAAAATCGGTTTTGTTTACTGAATTAAATCTCACTCTATAAACCAGATTTTGATACGGGGAATTTTCTCGCACTTTGCCCTTCAAATACATATCACAACACACTAAGGTGTAACATGCGGCACTTTAGGTGGACTGCTGTATATGGAGTTCGGACTTCAAATTTTCTGCAACTATTTCTTATATATTTTTTGCACTTTTCAGACACCTCTATCAATTTTCCGGAGGTAAGCGATCGCAGTAGGTATAAAATATATGATTGCTAATTTGGCATATTTCAGTTTTCCCGGGACTTGTGGGAAATTCAAGATGGAAGCTCCCCGCTGGCGAGCTGCATACAGTTAACAGTCAAAAGATTAATGCTACAGAGATTCATAATTCCAGCCGATCCGCAAGTTCATCAGATGCACCTTACTGATGATTCTAATAAGAATAAAATGGCTGCAACATTGTCGGCTTTTCAGCTTAGATTGCTTTCACTTTTATGAGATGAAATTTCTATCTAGGTGATTGAATAAAACGAGAGCGACATCTGAGCCATCACAAACTCCGACCTGATTGAATAAAGTTTCAAACTGCCATAATCACGAACATTCGCAAAGACATCATGATACTTATAAGGACGGGACGAACCATGGACACACAAGGAAAATGCATGAGGAAAAAATGAGTCTTCTGCAACCCTTTCTTGAGAGCCACCAATGATTAGTCCTGAATACCTAGACGGGTAAATAATTTCGGGTTAGCCTGCTCCATCCGTCTGTCAGGATCAGTGATAACATACATCGAGAGATACAGTTCAGAGCTGGAAAGAATGGGGGTTTGGTCTATGATAAAAATATACATAATACCGGTTTCTATGATACATATGAGATAAACCGTCAAGATAATGTCCTGAAAGGTTATTCTCCTGAATTACTATCCTTAACGTTATTGATATTTTGCATGGTTCACTTTCAGTAGGGTTAGACTCAGCCTAATTCAAATACCCGCGTAAATAGGGGATGGTCTGCTAGGACACTAGGATCTTATTAAGCTTATTTGTTTCAGGTAACATGGCCTGTCTGTCCTCATACGCGACCAGGAGTCCAACGATTTTTCCGCATACCAATCAAATGGGTACTCACTTCAGGTTCACACGAGAAATAGTGCTATATAAGCACAAGGAGGCTTAATAGACCTGTCTTCACAGTATTCCCTCGTTCAGGCATGATTTGGTTTACAGCGTTAATCATTGTTTTGGCTGCAGTATCGGCTAAAAGTACGAAACTTTCAATGAATTAACGCAGTTCTCTTAGATGACGGAAGGCGGGAAATCACCTGTTTTCAGTCGCATGACTTGGACTTCAACAGTGCTACCGCAAGAAAGCGCTCAAACTGCGGACATTGTGTGGTAAGTATTTCTGTTGAATTGATTCACGCAGAGACAGGCTACAATGTGTAAAGGTCAACCTAGTAACTCTTGCGATCGCTTTATTGCCGTGAGGATAGCGCACACAGTGTTAAATATAATGAGAATTGATGAGAATAAGGCGTCTCCATAGGTATCTGGGATGGATTTTTCTTCAAATTTCCGACAAGTGCATACAATAAACTGTTAATGTCTATGTTGAATTGAATTATAGTATCAGGAGACCCTGATGGGACATGATGTGGTTGCAGTCACGCGTCAGTGTGTTGGACAAGAATGCAATCCGTACGAAGACGTCGTCGATGGCTACGGAAAGAACCGTTTTTGTTGTACTACCGACCTGTGCAACGAGTCAAAGGAGAGAGGCAAGTTTTCAAACGGCCCAAATCCCATTTAGTACGCTTCTTTGTCCAAAGTAGTCTTTGTTGTTTGCCAAAATCTAGCATGGGTTTATTCGAATAACCAAAAGTCAGTTGTGCACGGGATTGAAAGGAAACTAATTCCAAACGTTTTTCCATTCCAGCTCTTGGTGTAGAGCCAATGTAAGAACAGAAGTTTTGGAATTTTCACATCTTATGTCAATAAACCCTTAAGGTTGCATCTTTCTCTTTTGCAAATTGACTTGGCGGTGAATGGGAATAACCGATTACGCCATTTCCACGTTTTGGCTTACGCAATGTTCTTCAAAATCCACCAACAACCCCTAAGATTTTCCGCTATAAATGTTTGAACGTGTGCAGTGCAATCTGAAAATGGTGGAATATTTGGTTTATTGGATCCAAGGAGTGTTGTTTCTTTGATTTGGAAGCTCTCAATATATGCATATATATATATCCACGAATTCATTTGATCCACGTATTTGGTTTGAGACACTTTAATATATACGACATGCATATCAACAAATCACTCGCATGTGTATTAATATATCTGTCTTCTCGAACAGACCGTATTTTGAGGTTGTGTAATGGTTCTGGACCTGTCCCGAAAACAAACTGTGTAATAAAAAGGTGATGAGAGGGCATCGATGCCGAGCATAAAACATGAAAGAAGTGATACTCTCAAGAACGTGAACAGTGTTTATCCCAGGGAAGAATTAGTGATGGTAGGCAAGTTCAACGGGGATACCGCATTCAAATGAAATATAAAAGTAATCGAAAGAGGAAGAACGTAAAACTGGAAAGCGATACAGAGTTAAGAACCGGTATGATCAATCGATACCTTCTTGAATCCGTTTCAAAGCCAGCCGTTTTACTGATAAAAAGTGGGTAATCGATGGTCTAAGTAGCTCACAGTGTTTCGACCAGAAAGTGTTATCTGTATTTTCTTCCACTGCATCGGAACCCTAGGAGATCTGCATAGGAACCGCCTAACACAGGTTATCAACGAGTCAATCAAGAGACCGACAGATTATCAACGGTAATATCTGTGGGAGGATTAAGAAGATTGTTTAGACACTAATTTTGTTTTTGGCCAATAAAATGAGGGTTTTTAACAGCGGGGAGTATTTACTTTCCTTGGTCAATTTTCGTAGCCACGATGGTCATAATTTTGCCATTTTGGACGATGAGGTTACGGATTGCATTGTGTAGGAGATCATGAACCCCCAAACATACTGGGGGAGTTGTCTCTCATTGGACAATAACTTTTCCGCTGTTTGCCGGCAGCTCATTCAGACAAACTACTACGAAACAATACCTGGATGTGATAGATTTTATGACCTCCGCCATAACCATTCAGAATGCGAGGTTTCATTTCAAGGAATCCTACCATTCTGTAGACTCCCGAAACCTTAGAATGGGAATCTTGGAGTACAGATAGGCCCTCCATATCTCGGTACATGCCTGGAAGTGTCCGTTACACAGTCGGTGAAAATAGCGCACGAAGCTCAAACATCCGATAAATGCCCAACAACTTGAGCTGTCTAATGTGCCAGACACTACTTTTAGTAGGGCAATTTGACTGTAATAGGTTTGTTCATGGTAATGTGTTGAAATATTAGTAGCTCGAGTGAGTTTATTGGTTGTTGATTAGGTGTCTGTTGGTCTGTTCGACGAGTCTGCCAGTTGGCTTCCCACCATTTCATCACCCTATCAGGAGACATCATCGGTGCGCAGTTTGGTGAGTACCCAACTGCGCACTGATGATTTCACCTCGTACGGTGACGAAACGGTTGCAAACCAATTGCTAAGCTCGCCAAAGAGATCAACAGCCACCTGATCAACAACCAAGATTTGTTCATATTTTGCTGGGAGTTTTATTTTCTCTGATCTGGACACTTCAGAAATATTGAAATATGCGATCGCTGTAAATTGGTTTGCTTAGCGCTCAGTAACTAGTTGCGATATTTACTTAAGGAAACTCCACCGAAATGGGTAATAGGTCGGATTGGTTAAACATCGGACAAACCTTGCTAGAGAAGTGCTTCTGTGCCAGGTTTTAAGTATATCGGTCAAAATCGGGCAGAAAAGTTGTGTGCTTCCCCAAACACTTGCGCGTATTAGTTTAGCTGTAAAAACCCCATGGTGTATTGACACAAAGTAAAAGCAGCTGCTTTTGAATTGGGCACCCGGGATTTTTTACCTCTTCCTACGTGATTCTCTTCGTGCGTTCTAGAAAACTCAACAAGAGGTGACAACTAGCCAGTTGTAAATTGTGTTGTGCTCTTTTGGGTAACTTTAACAATAGATTCACTGATGTGACAGCGTCTAACTCCAGAACGAAGCTGAAACGTTCCTATTGAAGTGACATTGGGAGGCTTGAGGACATAGTGCCGCTCGTGTTCCTCGAGGAAATATGACTTTTGAAATGACATTTGCCCCTCTTGTCTCCACTTTCTACACAAATTCTCAATAACTGAGAGACAGTCATGTGGAAATTTCGCTTAGCCATTCAATACAACTTGGTCCGAAACTATAAACTATCGAAAGTTCTGATTTCGCGGCTTGCAAACCTGTTCAATCAGTTTACCAGACCTTATGCAGTCCTAAACACCAAAGGACACATTTCCATAACCAGCGCACGTATGACTGCAAGGGTGACTACACACCGAATTCCGCCAAGAACGGACGAACCAGGCGGTCGAAATGGAGATGTCAGTTGTTAATTAGTCAGTAATGCAGAACCAGCCCATGAGAAGGCACTTAGAACATTTTTACATTTTCATTTATTTAAGTAATCAGGTCATTGGAATGGATTGATGTTATTTATCCCAGGGAAGAAAGGAAAGTGTGGGAAAGAACGCGCAGCGCTTGCATAGGCAGGAACTGGGGAGGAAGGGCAAACTTTGTTAGCCAGTCAACAGACAACTCTGAGTTACACTTCGCTTTTAGGGATAATGTGCGTGACGCGGCTTGAATATAGTACATAGTTCTGCACAGCAGTCGTCTGTCCTGGGTGTAACGCCCTCGCTGGTGCTGGGAGGTCAAGTAAGCGCATCAGCATTGTAAGATTTCCAATAAAGCACAAACGCGCTGGCTGACCGCATGCTGCAGTTCATTTTGTCCGCAGCTTATCAGATATAAAACTTGTTTCCATGAACTGACGTAAGTATGAACCCAATAATGGTTTTGTTAAGTGTCATCGAGAATACAAGGACAGGTGTCGAATTTGGAGGAGAGTTACTTGACAGGAATTTAATTCCCGGGGCTCATCAGGCACGCAGCCCATTTATTTAAGTAGAATTTGCCAGGCGAAATAAGACCTGAGTCTCAGGCCCCAAAAAAATCAGGCTACTGGGAATGCTATACAAAAAATATGGGACCGTAGAAGAAATGTCGGTAGTTCGGGATAATATGGATGAGTAATGGCCAGAGTGGGCCGCCTGTCAAATTTGTCCGAATAAAGTATTCAGAGTGTGACCATGGATTGCTCAAAAGAACAATGTTTCAGTATCGCAGCATGTTGAATTAACAAAGAATTCCATACTCTGTTAAAAACCGATGTATCAACGTCAAAATAGGCCAATGAATCCAAAACTATGTCGCTCAATAATAAACGGAAAGCATCATCGGGACTTAGTGTTATTTGCACTAACGTCACACAACCTTGCGATACGTTATTACAAGCGAGAACTGGAGGAGTGGTTCAAACTTTGCGCTAAAATGAAGTCAAAACCTATCGAACCAACTTCCCTAACACGATTAATTCGACCACCGAACTCGCCACATAACGGTAAGCCAAGACTTCTCAGAGTTACCGTTAATACCGAGAAAGACCTGCAGAGCATACTATTACCAGCATTCCAACTTAGGGGGGAAGCTGACAATGGTGAAAGCATTTTCGCTCATATACCGTGGTCGGAAAGATCGCGCAAAAATACACCTCAACCTACAAACTCAACCAGCAAACATACAAATGACCGCAGTTTGATCATCTTGGGTGTTCCGGAACCCAACGAAACGTCAGATAAAATAGCGCAAAATACACACGACTACATGCAGTGGCAATTTCCATGCAGTACACTTGAAATGGAAAACGTGACCGTGGTTGATACTTATCGGATTCCGAAATCACCAAAATATTTGGGTACCGGCCCGAGGCCCCTGAAACTCACACTACTTCGTGGTGATATGCTAAACT